AATAATTCGGTTTTCTGGCCTTTTGTAAAAAGGTCTGCCTGTGGTATCTGGAGTGCCAGAAAATTTAAATGCGTATTTGCTTAAAAATGGCATACTATATGAACTATACCTGTAAGGTTCTAGGAATGTCTTGTATAATATTCTTAACAATTGTCCTCTTTCCGACAGGAGTTTCAAGTACTTCCATAACTATTTTTAATATTTTTAATATAACTAAAAAAAGCATGAAAGCATGACAAATAAATACTTCTTATAATGGGAATAATTACATTATTATTACATTCCACAGATTTCCACCTCATTAAATATCATATGAATATCCGCATTATCCTTTATAAGGTATAGCAAAGTCTGATTAGACTATTAGTCTACGAGCAGTCATCCCGCCCCTGCTTCTAAAAATAGATTTTACTATTTAAACACGTCCTAACACGTCTCAACACGTGACCGTGGAAACAACACAGTGATGACTAAGAGTGTGACAAATAGGATTTTGACTAATAACGAAAAAAACTAAGTCCTCCAGATACTTATAGATTACGGAAACGCGAAGGGTGTTGATGGTGGTGACAAATAAAATCTATTTTTAAAAGCGGGGGCAGGATCAGGGACGATGATTTTATGCTATCACATAATATCACATTAAACGCATAATTATGCAATAAATGCATAATTTAAGTTGATCGCTTCATAAAATCACATAATTTAATTTATCACATATCAGAATGCATAATCCGCAGTTATCCGCAGTATAAAATTTACTACGGATTATCATTTCGATAATTCGATCTTTTTTTTCTTTCGCAATGTCAAAAAAACCAAAAACTGCATCAGTTCATACCAGATGTAATGAATATAAAGATATTTTCCGAGTTGATGACAGCATTCTTTTTTGCAATTATTGCAACATTTCTGTAGATTGGAAGCGTAAATCTACTGTAGATAATCATTGTAAAAGCCAGAAACACATTTCTAACGTAAAAAGTCAAGAAAAAACCCAAAATAATACACAACTTACTCTTTCATCTACTCAGGCAGCTGCTGAAGCAAAAAAGCAACTTATTGAAGACCTTATAGAGGCATTTGCAACAGCAGACATTCCTCTTGAAAAGGTCAATTCTTTACTTTCATTTTTTAAAAAATACATTAAAAACGGAGGGTCTATTCCTCAAGCTCCTACCCTTAGACAAAATTATTTGCCTAACGTTTTTGACAAACACTTTCAGTCACTTAAACTACTTTTTGATTCAAAACCAGTGGCTATAATTATGGATGAAACCACTGATGACTGTGCTCGAAGTGTTGTCAACACCATTTTTTGTTATCGCAATGAAACAAAACTAGTTTCGGTTGACTTTCTTGAACGTGTGAATAATACCACAATGGGGCAAGTTCTCACTACTATTCTTGCTCATTTTAATATATCCTTCAACTTGCCTCGCCTATTTCTTACGGACTCAGCAGCATACATGAAAAAATGCCATCGTGAAGTCCTATCTCCACTAATGCCTCAATTAACGCATGTGCCATGTTGTGCACATATTATAAATCTTATCGGGTATGTATAATTTATTTCTATTTATAAAGAGGGGGCAAATTTCACGGCATAGCATTTAATATTTTTGTATTTTTTTTTTCTTTTTTCAATTATTTTGTATTTTAATTTTCATGTTCCAAGTATTTATATAATCTAATATGAAAAAGTTTTAATTAATAAAAACAAATTGGTTTTCCTCTACTATATATTAAAAATTAAAGGGATATGTGGAGAACATTACCTCAGTTTAATATTTTAAAGTCTTTTTTGGATAAAATTAAAGAGGTTTTCGTTAATTCTCCTGCCCGAAGAGGTAGATATTTGGCTTATTTGAAAATGCATGGAATTTTCTCACCATGCAAAATTCCTTTGTATAACAAAACACGATGGAACTCTTGGTTTCGGATGGTTTCATATGCAAAGGATCATATTGTCTATTGGCCCTCTTTTTTTAAAGAAGAATTCAATAATGATAAAAAACACAACACTTTGGCTGCTATTAATTCTTGCTTGGAAAATGAACAAGAATTAGGAATAATCACAATCTACCTTAATTTCATTACTTCCTATGCTAAAGAATTTGTTCAGGATCTTGATTTTTTCCAACAATTAAAAAAACCAGTTTTTCCTTTTGTAGAATTACGCCTTCAACAGCTTACTGCATATATTGAAACATATAGGAATTCAGATGATTTTGGTCTTTCTTTAGAAAACTTGATTAATAGTCTCCGATTTAATACACATGAATTCTATTCCATTTTTCGAGCAGCATTTGAGGCAGCTTATGCCAAGTTTGCTGCACACATTCCTAATCACCCAGCTCGGCCACTTTTCCATGCATGCCAAGTATTTGACCCCAAATTTATTCATTCTGGAGATGTTTTACGAAAAAATATTCGGCAATATAACAAAATTAAAGAATTTGATAATCCATCAGATGAATTAATACGAGAATGGGGAATTTATTGTGGATTAGACAATGAACTTTTGGGCGAAATGGAATTGGATCAATATTGGGTAGATAAGGCAACACAACTGCCAATCCTTTCTAATATCGCAATGGATTACATCTGGTTGCCGATTTCAAGTTGTACCTTTGAACGAAGCTTTTCTATGTATAATTCTCTATTAGACAGTGATCGTCAAAACTTGTCTCAAGATTCTCTTAAAAGATTAAATATGATATATTTTAATGGTGTTAAAATTTAGGAATTAAGACTTAGGGAACGGGAATTTAGATTTATGCAATATCACTTTTAAATAAAATAAATGAAATTTTAATTCAATTTACTAATATTTTTATTTATAATAACTTAATTTACACGATTTATTTTCAGTTTTTACTATAATAAAACTGCGCATAATTTTACATAATTACAAATTTTGGTGCATAATTTATGCATAATTGTAAAAAATACGCATTCCTTAAAATGCATATTTGGCTTTTGTTGCATACATAATTCATGATTTATTACCGCATAAAATCATCGTCCCTGGGCAGGATGACTGATCTTAGTCTACCCGTTTCTAAAAATAGATTAGGCTAATTAAACTTATTAAAGAGAATTTACGCAACTTTCATATAAAAGTTTCCTCATTCACAGTTATACCAATATGGCTTTTTTCGCATTAAGTGACCATGTAAAATCAGTCCCTGCACTGTTCACGTGACAGTGCATAATTCTGCATAATACCGGCCACCAAATTGCTTTTTTTTCTTAGGAACGCTAGGGTAGTTCTTTGTCAGAATGCTATTAAGACGAAAAAAAGTACGATAATTTTCCTGCAGACAAGCTCAAGTTATAGGAGAAAGAAATCCCTGATGATCGCGATCTCTTGAGCACTATCTCACTTCAGGACTCCTTGCAACAAGAGGAATAGGAGACTACTGGGCTGGGAAACTACCTAAGAGGTATATTCATGTGTAAATTATGGAGAACTAGAAAACCCGTGCCTTCATCACCCGATACCAAACAGATATGTTTCCTATCTTTCTAGATTCGGAAATATTATTTATCAATACTTTTTCTTGCTCTGAAAAGGTCTGATCGCAAACATGGGTAGTGGAAAAATATTCAGATTCCAGAAAGTAAAGAAACTTCTCCACTTTATTCGCGAATCATCACTTATCTAAGCTCTTCATTGTAAAGGTACAAATGGGTGGTTAATATCGAGCAAGAGACCTCAAATAATACATACGTGCGATGAACCAACTTGAAAATGATGGAGCGGTGTTCAACATATGGATAATGGAGGGAGATATTCACCCAGGAACAATGCTTCATTCTGAGAGATATTACGATCACTAGTTACAAAAAAGACCTGCTACCAGACCCTTAAGTTCACTGTAATTATTGGGACTCCCTCAAATCATTTGACAATTGAACCTTTCTGAAAGTGTATCAACTCTACGGTCTTAGTAGCGATGACCCTAATCCCGACATTGATTTTTTTCATGTGGTTTTGCTGACCTAAGTAGCGATAAGTCCAAAACTGTGGTGGTTAATCTTCTAATAGCCGAACTGAACTTTAGTAAAAAGATGACCTTATTGCCATTAGCATATGAGACGACGAAATCTATCTATTCACACTGTTACTTAGCAGCGGTGTATCATTATACGAGAATGATTTCAAAATCATACCTGAAAAGCTTGTAGTAGGGCATAACGGGCAAGGAAACCTCGATTTTGCGATAGAATGTTGTTCAACGGGGAGGATGGATAGCGGGATTAGTTGAGGTCATAAGAGATGACTTTAGACAGGGTTTTGCAAGCTACTGTGCAGATGGAATCAACCATAACATGTCATAAACGTAAAGTTGATGAGATCGAATATGACATGGATAAAGTATGGGGATCGTAACTGATGCAGAAAAATGGTATCTTATGGAATGTATACCTGAGAGAAAGCCCTCGTTTAAGTTATCGGAACTGGTGATGTTGAGTATAATAATGAGAATATGCAAATCAAGGTGGAAAAGGTCCTCGGTCATATTGTATGGTTGCTGCGCAGAAGCCTGTGGACAATTCACAAAGTGTTAAGCAATCGAAGGAGATAAAAAAGCATAGGTCATCAGGTAATCTTACGGAAAAATCAGATACAGTAGATAGGTCAGCATAGAAAATTAGTCGCAAAGCCCCGAACATTTACCTTCATCTGTATAATAGGCCATCATTATATTTATTTTTTAATTGTATTATTAAAAAATTTACTTTTACCAATATTACACGAAACACGCACACAACGTTTTTATGACAAAGAAATGGATTTTATTTTTCATAAATATATAGGAAAAGAACCGGTTGCTATGCAAAACAAAAAAATAAAACAGATAGCGGATGTTTCAAGGGAGGAATAAAGCATAAAATATACCTACCCGCCATTAAGTGCAATAATGGCAGTTCCTTCTAGCTATCCTTTACTAACTACTCTTTTTCCCTCCCTTTCTATCCATGGAGTTATTTTATCTATCGTAGTCTTTCTTGGATTCGTTCTGTGATTGGGAAAAAAACCCTAATGTTCCCAACTCCTCATGAAATAAATGATAGAAGCTGGCTAATGTGCCAGGACTAAGTCCGATCTCATCAGATAATATATTGTACATTTGTGTAGGAGAGCGATTCCCCTTTTTTCTTCTCTGATCGAAAATGGCAGTGAATTTGACCCAATACATTTCTGTTTCGTCGTCATATTCAGTACGTGCGGATAAACGACTTATGGAAGAGAATCGATTTGATCCAACTAAAAGAAATGAAACGCATATTATGTATCGTCACGGGCATGAATCACATGCAGACTGCAGACTGCGGCATGATAGGCTTACCTTGTGATATTGCGTCATTCTTCCATTCGTTTTCAGTGCGTATTTCTTTGGATTTCATTATTTAGTGCCAGGACTGTTCTTTCAAGTTCATTATTTGTCTCAGGCTGATGAAAAAAAGATAATGTAACTGCTACAACTGCATATATAATTACGTTCCCCGAAAAAACATTCTGGATCATGTCCATTGTTAAGATGCCTCGGGTAAGCATCTCATGTAATGCAACAACGGAAATGAAGAGTGAAATCAAAAAAATGTTACGTCTGTTCATGTTATCTGTAGTTTGTAAATTGTTTCAAAAAAGCAGTATGCAGGTTTATTTGGAACTTTTTAGATAGTAACAGTTAAAGGTCTTTATCTGCTGAAGGCAAGACTATTTATACTGCGCGAAAAATTGCTATTCATGAAATAATGAATTGAGTTACGCAAACTTATCCTAATTTGGTAGTAAACTATATGCGTAATCTGGATTGATTAATGCAAACAAATACGCAAGCTATTATTTCATGGTGGATTATTAATGGGATGTGCAAAAATAATGCCCATTTTTATTGTTAATGCAGCCGATCGATGCGGTAGATGAGTTACTTTGATCACCTCGACGGCATCACTTGGTCCTTGTGGTCTCTTTTAGGGATAGAATTATATACGTATTTTTTTAGCTGCGATACGCAAAAATTTATGCCAGAACTTTCAGGAAAACGATTTTATTGGTCAGTATTTTTTACAGGTATGACTTGTTTTTTAACACTATACTGCGGCATATTTTACATATGATATCGATGACGTTTACTGCGGTATGATTTTGTGACTTTTCTCACATGATTCAAAAAATGACCGTGAGGACAAAACAAGCACTGCAGCTGCGGTTAGTCACATGAACGAGCAATGGATTATATGCAAAAATGGTACTTTATTTAATCATAATAGACACATAAAAAAACTAATACATTCTAAGATATTCCGCAGGTATTCGACCAGATTATGCCTGTCAAAACTCCTTCTGTTCGAGCGTTGATCGGGTAATTCGAGTCGACAGGTTTATCGTCCATTATTTCCTCGTCGAGATCAAAGTCTATGTCATCGAATATATTAATATCTTCAGGTTTATCGTCCATTTTTTCATCATCGAGAACGAAGTCAATGTTAGGCTGTGACTTAATTGCCTCTAGTGCTTCTAACCTCGCTACTTCTTTGTGTGTGAGTTCATCATAGATTCGCTCCATAGATTTGTCGTAATTGGAGTCAGATTCTGAATTCGGAGGCACCTTACCACCCCAGTGACCTCCTCCGTAATTCCAGCTAGGCAGTCATCTGAGTTAGAATCATAAGCTGAAGTAACCGCCACACTCTCAGAGATTTCGTTTACAGGACTAGTGGTTGTCTTCTTTGACCTGTTCTATGATGTATTCGATTTGAGGATTAGTGAGTTTTGAAATTCTGTCAGCACTATAGGTGACCCGATTAACCATATACCCTGGTATACCATCAATCTTTTTCAGAGTTACAGGATCATATTCAAACCCAAATAACTTGTTAATTTTCTCGCCTTAAAGGCCTTCACACATAAATATTCATCTGAAATATCTGTAAGGTATGGTTTCATTTCAGAATAAATTTGTGTTTTTGCAGTTCTATCCGCAAGTTTCTTATTTTCAGCCCTAGGTTCCAGGACCTTGTTTTCAAATCTTTCTGAGAATAAACGCCAGGTTGTAATTTCTGATCGCTTTGTTGTGATCGATCTATTTCTTGCACCATTTGCTTGGCAGAATGAATTGGCAAGTCTCTTAATACTTATCGATCCGGAAATTATAGTTTTGGGAGAAGAAAACTTTACATCTTTCAGAAGTTGATTGTCAGATGAGAGTAGCTCTTCCAACAAACCTTGTACGAATTCGGTTACTATGCTCGGTCCTACCACCGATTTATCTTGATAGTCAGCTTTGCTCTCAATTTCTTCCAAACTTTCTGAAGCCACCTGATCGTATCCCAAGGATACGGTTTTCCCGATTTCTTCCAAATTTTCTGAAGCACTCTGATCGTATCCTTGGGATACAGTTTTCCCTATTTTTTCCGAAGCACTCCGATCGCTAATGGTGTTCGAATCCACAGCAGAATTCGCAATACCTTCAATAATCTCTGTTTCGTGAGATAATTCTGAGGAAGAGCTATCCTGGCCAGCTGATTCACGCTGGAGTTTCTTCTCCCTATTCCTCTGCCTTATCTCTTCACTAATACCTTTCTTATGCTCCTCGATTAAGAAAGCGGAGCAAGCATCCACTGGAGAACCTTGTTCATTCTCTGCAGAACTGCTGGCATTGTTGGACTGGTCCCGTGGTTGTTCATCCACCGAAGAGCTCTGTTCTACCTTCACGAGTCTATTCTCAAGTTCCATATTTTTTAGTTCTTGTTCCTTCCTGATAAGGTTGCTTGTCTAAACCTCTTCAAAATCCTACGATTAGTTTCGTCAAAATTTTACTATAGATTTATTATAGTTTCGGCAGAGTTTCAGCAGTTTCAGCATTTATAATAAGTTTCGGCAGTTTCGCCATTCTCCAAAGTTTCGCCAGTTTTTTAATATAATTTTAATATAGTTTTAGCAGAATTTCGCTTTTCGGCGAAACGCCATCTTGCCTAAACCCCTAGGTTTCGGCAAGCAACCTTACTTCCTGAAATTCGCTACCTTAAGATCGAAATTCTCAGTAAAGAGGTCAGCATTCTTCTTTTTAAGCTTGTCAATTTCTTCCATAAATGAAAAAGCACTTATTCTCTTTTCTTCACGCTCTGCCTCAAGCTCGGCCTTCAGCTCAGCGTTGCGCTGTCTTAATAAATCAAGCTCAGATAGGTTAACTGCAGTATCATTAACTGTCATGTCATGGTTAATAATTTTACATGCAGGGCAAAAATATTCAATGTTACATGACAAATGTAATCAAATTTTATTAATAAAAGAGTCAGGGCGTAGCCCGTTATACATGTAATAATAAATCATTGCCGGAAACTGGCTAACAGTATATAAAAATGTGAATATATCGTACTGCATAATACAAAAAATTATTCTTTTTCTGGTAATACGGGATATGCTTTGATATGAACGTAGTCTGTATGAGGTTGGTCATTAAATTAAAGCCTGCGATTGCATACGTCTTTCATCAACACTGCTAGGATGAATTTAGAGGAATGTTATTAAAAGATGCCCCTAGATTGTTTTGAATTGCGGTTTCAAGAGCGCTAACTATTTGTCCCCTATCAATTGTAATTGTTCTATCACATAGAAGATCATTAGAAACAATACAGCAGTTGAGAGTAATATCAGTCATACTGGATTCCTGATCCTTAATGAGATTATTTGCATGAAAACACTTGCATATACGCACCTTAATTTTTCGCGGGAGGGTTAGTTGAACTTCTGCCTGTTCTTTCACGCTTTATATCTCTTTACTGTTATCAGCGGAATAATAAAAAGCCAGCAGGTATATGATTAACATTGTCGTATGATGCCAAAAAAACCAAGAAGGTACATGAAATCGGAATCTTGATTCCTTTTAATTTAGCTATCTTTCTCGCAAGACTCTAAGTAGCTTTGCGCCTGACGATCTCAGAATTGCAAAGTCTTCCGCCCTTCGTAACATATGCTTTTGACGTTAATATTAACTTATAGGTTAGCCCTGTATTGCAACAAAGCATTTTCACATTCCTCTCGCGTTTGTGGTTGTATTTTATTTGCGAAAATTAATACTGATGTCGCACGGTCGGCACGGACCTTCCATTTATTCTGTCGTACAATTTGTCGCTCAGCAAAATTCTTCCGAGCTGGTGATCACCGCACTGGGCTAGTTAGGTCGGTAGAGTACTACCATTCCGTAAAGGGCTGTGTTAATTCTCGACTAAGAAACGCAGAAATAATATTCTGTGCACTATCTGCTTGTCTAAGATAATTATTCAGCTGTACCCATAATTATCGGAGGAGACACATTATTACTATAGATATCTTCATCCTCTGATTCGGTTTTGGAGCCAGAGCTAGAATATTCAGAGTCTGTTTCAATATTCAGAGTCTGTTTCAGAGTATTCCAAATCATAATACTCACTTAGATCAAGGTTGTCCATAGCCGTATAATGTTTGAAAAACTTGGTTATTATGACCTCCCCATTTGAATTGAATGCGGTAAAATCAGAAAACAACTATTCGTAGAATGTATATAATGAAGGAGATAGTATATCAATGTTATTTATTACATAATAAAGTCTTTTCTCTTCATTATCTTCCCAATATCTTGCATCGCGTTCATCAATCCTATATCCTAATCTTACTAGCCAATTATTACCTAAACCAAATCATATTCAGGCTTGTCAACAACTACGAAAGTTTTTGTATCTATTCCCAAATACGAAGGTGGTTTTAACCCATCAAATATATTTGGCAAAGTGACGGCAACTTTTTCTCTTTTAATCCATCCTCTTATCATCACTTTCTTATCAGCATTTGGTGTGCCAATGGCAAGTTCTTTTACTGTGGGATATCTTGAACCAAATTCCCTACAAATATATAAGTCTATTTTTTTGGCAAGTGCTTTGCTAATACTGCTATACAGAGATCGGGAATTGATCAGTGCTTTAACAGTTTGTGCTTTAACAGTTTCTTTAAAATCAATAAATGTACAATCTTCTGCGAATTTCTTGAATCACTTCATCTCCCCATATATTATTTATACTGTGACATTTTTTAAGATCCTGTATCGCAAAATGTTTTAGAATAAACTGTATTAACTCTGTCGGAAGCTCTCGTAGTGACACAGACCTTGCAGTTCCACAAATAGACATGGTTGTCAAAAATAAAATTAGCAAACTATTTCCAGGTCCTGTCCTGAACCAGGAACATACAAAAGGAATCAAAAAGCAAGACCTAAAGAAAAAAATATCAGCACAACAATATATTGTATATGAGAGAATTCCAACTTAGCAAATAGAAGGTGGTGTGTATGACCTGAAAGGAAGAAAAATTTTCAAGCGTAATGAACAGTGTCAGTTGCTTTAGAAAAAACAAAACAATATATAAATTAATTTGTTAAAGAAGGAAATAGAGTAATTTGAAAGGTATATAATAATATCAAATTGTATAAATACAAACATAATACTTCCTTTTGTTTAGAGAGTAGTAAAAACATTTACTAAAACCATATGATTATGATGATTCTATATAATCTGATAGCTACTATGAGAATTTCATAAGGTGATAGTAGGGCACAGGAGCAATCTTATAGATGAAGGACTGGTTTGGAGTTTTAAGCAAATTAATTATACATGTAACAGAATTTTCTGTATTTTATATAATTAATAAACTCACAAATTGCACTACCTGTCTCTTATACACATCTAGATGTGTATAAGAGACAGGATTTAAAGTGATTAATAGAATTTTATAGGTATAAAATAAAGAATAAATTTTTAGTAAATTTTAAATTTTTAGTTAAATTTGAAGGTAGAATTTATAATTTTTAATTATTTAATAACTTTATTATAAAATAATAAATATAATAAAATATAGTTTACAATAGTAATAAATAGTAAACTCCTATTAAAAATAATAAATTTAATAATTCCTTTATTTGTAATATAAATATATTAATCAATTTAATAATTGGAATATAATTAAAATATATAAAATACAATAATATATATAAATTTTATAATATTGTTTTGTAGCTTTTTGTCATTTGTTAATTTATATTTATTCTTTTATAGAAATAATATTTTTTTTTTGTAAATGGCATATTAAAAGAAAAGCAAACAATAAATTATCAAGAAATGATAAAAAGGATAAAAACCAGAAATTAAAGAACTAATAAAAATCATACTTTTGAATGGAAATATTGACAAAAAAAAAAAAGAAATATTTGGACTGAATGCTGGAAAAAGAGGACCAAATTGACAAAAAATTTTTTTTAAAAATAACAAATGTTCTGCATCAAATGATCAGATATATATCTATTTTATTTACAAACTTTTTTTGAAAAAAATTTCAATTTCAAAGCTAATACTATTTAAAATTGAATTGCAATTACACTAGAACTTTTAAAGCTTTACTTTGTACTTTAGAAGAAGTAGAATTTTCAAGAAATACAGAATATTAATGAGTTTGTAATAAATTTTAGAAATAGCAATTTACTAATACCATATTTATTGAAAATAAGCAACCTTTCTTTACTACTTATTTTCGAGCGTAAAATATTTGTCTTTTTTTATCAAGCTGCGCCAAATACTATCTGATGATCATCTGAATTGTTGTACAGCTTTATTAATTTTGAGATGATGAACTTTAATCTTAATGTTTTTATGATCAGACATTAGGTTAAAGCAAGCGTGAACTGGACAAATAAGATAAGAAAGAAATTGGTAATAAGTGAAACTAATGACAAAAGTAATTAGTGATAGTAATACTGTACTTCTACAATTATTGATTAAAATTTATACAAAGGATTTTCATAGTGCTTATTTTGGGGATGTACTTAAATATGATAATATTCTTTTTATAGTAAAATCAACTACCAAACCAGAAGTGCGTTTTGTATTATAAAAAGGTTAGTTTTATTGAACGAATCAGAAACTTTATAATGTTTATCTTCATTTGAAGTTTCCTTTTTTAATTCACCCCCAGATCTGCATAATTTGAACTGATTATATCAAGACCAGCACTTAAATTGATGTGCGAAGCACAACTTTCATTTAAAATTGATAAATTGAGTTTGTGTGGAGCATATTTTTTATTTAAATTTACAAATTCAGTTTATGCGAGGCATAATTTTCATATAATATGATGCGAAGCACAAATGCACAATATTGGCCGCCCGCCTATGACAATTATACGACAAATAAGTTCTCTCATTTTTCACAAAAATGTTTTCTCGTTGTTTTTTTGCGAAAATAATGATGACAAACTACAAGCTATTTAATGATTTTTGAGGAGATTTAACCCCTGAAGTTGCAATGGCCATTATAGTTACACAAATAAGCAATAACCCGATAAATAAGAGATAGGAATTACAATAATGAGTTCAATGATAACTTTATGTATACTTTTAGAGGGCCGAATTATTCTTTTTTAGTTCGCTGCATGTCATGAATTTTTATTTATTCTTCACATGTTGGTATCTATTTAATTATATTCTTTTGCAATAAGGTTATCCAAAGCTATTTTATTATATATATAAAAACGATTTATATGAGATTCAGCAAATATGGTATTTTCAGTATTTACGGGATTTACGAGGATTACGAGATTTATGAGATAACTAGAGAAAGTATTTAGCTGTTTAACGACACAAGCTGGATTATTCACATCGATTTTTTTTTTCTTGTTTAGTCCAAATTTAATTAAATCTCTCATACTTACGATGAACTTTGCATGAACGAGTTTCGTACAAAGAAGAGGTGGATTGCAGTGATCCTCTTGATAATTGCATGGATCTTTTCTCCAAGATTTATTAAAGTTTTCGGATTTATCAATATTATAATATAATAATGATGGATTTTACCAATCTGAAAAAACTTGTTGCATTTATTTTTTTTTTAAGAGTGCAATTTTAATTCAAGCTGTTGGGAATGATTGAATGAATACCTATTAAGTAACGATTTTTGGCTCTTACTATATAATGGCAATAACCAGATTGATCAACGTTTACAATTTCAGTGGTTCCTGGTATGCATCCATACAGCGTCAATATTTAATTACAGCCACTCGCTTCTCATCCATCTAGATTGTTTGACATTTATCAGCGGTTTTATTTTGATGTCAATATTTAAACCTCATGCTATACCATAAATTTGAACGAAACATTTTCCTTTGTGTCAAGATATAGACACATCAAATTATTATTACTCTGGCTTCGAAAAGTGGAATATGTTTATAATAGTATTAGTAGATTAATTCATATATCGTTGTGGCTTAGGTTATTTACTGTATATTGCCAAGACAGTGGAAAGATTTTCTTAAATTACTAAATACTTCGTCGTACTATTTGCATTTTTATAGTTAAACAATTATGATCTCAAATAATCCTTTCGGCCAAAATAGTCAAAATAATACTTCTTTCCATCACCTAGCGATATGTATTTTTTTCAATAATACATTAGTTGATCCAATATGATAAAAAAAATACTAGAAACAAGTTAATGAGTTACTCTTCCAGTATATGTAACATATTTATAATATAATAATATTATATATGATCCACCAAAATTGTACTAAAAATACGTAAAACACCTGCATAAGATTTTAGTTAAAAAATACTTATGTCCGCAAATCAGACTTCGTAGATCATAGCCATGATTTCAAAACCGAGAACCAATTTAGTACATATGCACGGACTTTATTTGAACGAAATTCACCTATAAAATTGATTCGATTAAAAACTTCTTTGATTTAGAGAAAAGGTGATAAAATCATCCAAATTCAAATCGTTAAATATTGAAATTTGCTTTACACATGGCATGTATGTATTATTAGGTCATTTAAGTACATCACTACGGCTTTCATAATTGTAATATCTACATATTTCATTGCCATAAGGTTATACACATGAAAATAAAACTTCTTTTTGGAAAATACAAACGACATTATATAGTTCACTCCCTGAAGAGATATGTAAGTAATGTTAGTCAATATGAAAAATTCGATTTTCAACAGAAGTTCATCGAAAATACATTCTATATTGCCATATGATATAATTTCCACATTTAGCATTCAGGTCACAGAGAATTTGAAAAAAATTCAGACCAATCAGCATTCAGAATTTGTATTTGCATTTAAAAAACAACCCGCAAAAAAAAAAGAAGAATATCAACATATCGAACATATCGTAATAAATCAGTATAGAACCGATATAGAATCTTCAATTAAAAATAGAACCAATAAAAAATTGGTATGTTCCAAAGATTTTACGATTTCTTTTAATTCATTCCAGGATTAATTTGTTGGGTGAAACATTATCGAGTACAAATATGGTAGATCATGTTGCATAGTATCATTATTTTGTTTATACTAACAAATAAACTAGTTTGTTAATTAGGGCTAGATAATGTGACACCAAATTTGTTTCTAAGAACGAAAGACAGCCAATACGCATTTTGATTTCACGAATATAATGTAAACTTACGATTGTTTTGTTTTACTATTTGGGATTTGTAGATTTGTAAACAAATTATATGCAGATAAGTTTCTAATTTTAAAAATGAGTATATGGATGGAAGGTTTAATCCAGAAATTCAGACATATCACAAAATTTATTAACCAACAAATATTTTGAACATCTCAACGACGCAAATCAATTGAGAAGGATAAACCAATACAGTTAACATATAGACAAGTTAAAAAGGAATCATTATTGTTCCTTAATTGATATATTAATTATATTAATTGTAAATTGTTTTTGTTTATAATAAATATGATATGTAAAATAATAAAAATATTTTTTTTGAAAAAAGAAATTTTTTTTTTTTTGAATTTATTTCCCTAATTTTATATCGTAGCGTACGAACTGAGATGGATACCTCCGATGAACATAGGTGCGAGTAAGTATTGTTCTTCAAATTCTGCTATCATTATAAAAAATTTTGAAGTTTAATGACATAGTATTTAAATCACAGATGGAGATATGATATCATTGATTGTAAAAATGATGAAAAAACTTATCAAATACTTCTTATATTAAACACATGTTTAAATTGTATATTCATCCTGATCTCAGCATCATTAATTTGTTGGAAACTTAAACTTCGTTTAAATGTAAAGTTTTGGTCTAAAGAAGCGTGGCTTCCTATGAACTTATTCTTTTTATGGTTTATATTATATTATTTATGTAAGTATTTTATACTCTTGATTTAATCTATCTTTATATATTAAAATCTGATAAATAAACTTCTTTCAGTACGTTCTTTTGCAAGTCTTGTCGTATTATTAGGATTATTCACTGATAAAATATTCATAGTTATTATGATATACGATCTTTCGTGGAGTCCTGGTATAATTGCAATTTTATTATACATTAAGGGAATGTTTCATCTCATGCCGCGTTTAACATTTGACCAATTTACAAATAATTGTTCACATAACAAAAAACCCACGAAAAAAATTTGGATTCCAGAAGATCAAAGCGTAAACCTTACTTTTTGGTCTGTTTCAGTATTTACCGTATTTATCATGTTGATTTTTTCATTATTAAAAAGTTATTTTTATAATCAGGAGAAAAAATCATACCCAATTTTAGAAGTTCCATTATTAGTTAGCAGTTTATTTATTAGCTTTTTATTTTTATATTATGGAGTAATTTTAATTACTTTAACGAAAAATAGTTTTATCTTATCTGAAGAAGACAATTTCGAAAATGATAGAAATCATCTTTCTTTTGTATTTCAACAAAATAAATTAAAGCTTAAGAAATATCTTCGAAAGGTAATTTGATTTGTCTTCTTCATTTATTATTATTATTATTATTACTAACGTAATGAATACTTGTTTTTTTAGATGATGTTATTTAATTTTTTTTGTGGAATCAATTTTTTATTAATTGCAATATCTATTGTATTTTTCTTTTTTCCTGATAAAACTCGTACAATGTTCACTTTGAATTTAATACTTTGTATTTTAACTTATGTAATATTTCCAACTTTTACGATCGTTTTACATATTGTTATGATATTATTGTGAGTATAAAATATAACGATAAATTAAAAGATTTATATTAAAAAAAAAATGCTTTAACTTAATTTATGTTTCATTCATATAGAGAAATTACAAAACGACATAGTAATAATTCGACTGTTACAGGTATTTAAATTCCTATTTAATAATTAATCAATAAAAGGTTTATCTAATTATTATTTTTTTTTAGTTCACGTGGAAACGACACAACTTTATAGTGTGCAAAGCAAGCCGATTCTAACAAATGATTAATACAATAATTGCAAAACTTCCATATAAATCATCGTAATCCCCTTTCCTTTTTTTTTTAATGACAACTTGTATTTAATAATTATTATAGCAATTTTTTTTTAGAATCTTTATAATGTATTCTCCTTAGCTTTTAATGACCTAATAGAACAATTCATTTACATACGCTCCGTCCCTCTGTTTTTGAATTTATAACCTCTTCCTGTATAGCATAACACCGATAATTCATTTTTTTTTTTTTACTATTCTCTTCAAATCATTCATCTGATCGCTAATCTATACAAAGATCCATGACGGTATATATGTTATGATATATTTTGCAAATTATTTATTTAGAAAAATAATTTTATTCATTTTCGTTAATGTGGGACTTACAAGTCACAGTTGACGATAATTTGACTTCGCTACGTTATTTATATAGAAAATTATTTTAATAAATTATTTATTAATCAGCTACTTTTATTATATCTTTATCGTTCGTCTTTTATCACAAACTGTTGCTTTAAGCGATTATAATGATCCTAGTGATCCTAGAAAAGATTCATACATAACAAGTATACGTATATTAAGAAACGGAAACATTTGCGAATCCGATTTTATTGGATGACGATCGCAGTATGCAGTATTGAATAATCGATCAAAAGTTTGGCTTGAGATTATTGCATGGATTAAACTGATGTTCTCTTGTTGATAGGTAGCATCTTGTTATGAGCCGAGTTGATCTGATTTTCGTAATGCGGTCATATTAACGTTCCAAAATCAATTCTTAGACACACTGCAAATCATATAAAAAGGTGATGCCTTAGTTAGCAAGCCCTTTAAACGAAGCTACAGAGCAAACAGAACTAGAACATATGAATCGAAAAACATAATAATCATCTTATTATATACCAAATCTTATCAGTTTAGGTTAAAGGTCTACATAGGTTAAGGATGCTCGATAATCATAACTCCCTCATTTCACAAATCACGTGTCAGTTCTAATTTCGACGTAGAAAATCATGACTGTTTGTAATTTAACAAAATAATTCTCGTTCACTCACTGAAGAGATTAAAAACATAACACGAACGATCTTGTCGACTTATTAAAAGAAAACTTGGAACTTGACGATGACGACTTGAATATTATTCGCGATAAAAAAGTCACCGGTCGCGCTTTTTTTAAGTTGACCGAAAGCAATTAGCCATTGTAGACTTGATTAATGAACTCAAAGATAATGAGGGTAAGCACCTTCCAAACATATACTGCGAACGTTGATAGCGACTTATACCATTTGCTTCCATTATATAGAGTCTCCTAGTAAAGGATTAAAGTTGAGGATGCTGAAGATATTAAAGTTTAGTACCGTTTCTTTTCGATCATGTTTTTGGGCATTATACAATACCCTACGTCTGTATGTTTGTGTGGGACCCCTACAGCCGATGTTTGGAAAGAGGGCCTTGCACGCCTACTAGGACTTACTTGTAAACCTTCTATTAAATCCGTGTGACATACTTTTTCCAGTGTATTGGGCACTGTGGGATTCCTATGTTCGTGTGGACCTGTCCACTTATGTGAGACCCCGCGACCAATGCTTGGGAAGAGAGCCTTGCACGCCTACTAGGACTTACGCTGTAAACCTTCTAGTAAATTCGTATGACATGCTCTTTCCAGAATCCCATGGTGCCAATGCCATTTTTGTGTTTTTTGTTATGTTTTAAATCAAGAACATGTTTAATTAGAATTAAGCAGTGATTCGTTACCTTATTTTTTCATTATGTTAACGATTACTCTGACTTTCTATAGATGAATATTCCAGACGGACTTTCTTCATACTTTTATAGAGCGAATTTTGATAATTGGGCTTTCATTGATTGCTTAAAATAATTAGCAAAAGTGTGTGAACGTCTAAGATCAGAAGACCTTGATGAAATTATTAAGTCCAACTTCGTTCGATAAGCTCAAGTCCATGGGCAGCTCCAAAGAGTAAGGAACAAAGCTACTAAGTTGATTAAAAGCGCCAAGGCTACATTCAAACGTAAAGACATCGCCACGTTTTTCGAAAGATTAGATATACGGGTATGTTTCAATTTGTGTATATAATGTGCTTATCGTTCATAAAAGCTAATTCATTAAATAGGCTGATACAAATGACACCCATAATCTCGTAAACGACACCAATAATCTGTATGGATGCGAAAGGATTTTTCTACGGTGATACTGGGAAGTTTTTATTCGATATACTACACACTGTATCTCTGCATGTCATGTGACGAAAATTTGATGATAGAAATAATACTGCGCTGATTAAACACATGACAATGATCCCAATTTCTCGGCGAATATCAAATGTGCGGAAAGAATCAAGAAAGGTAATACCGACTTATCTTTGAGCATCTATAGAACCGGGAAAATGATTAGCATTGTGATGGCGATTTTCTAGAATCAAGTCAAGAAATCAAACAAACCAACTTCGCTATTACTTTGCGGAATATACTCATTTGATTGATTGTTGATATTGTTGATGTTAATAGTGGTAAGTTTGAATATTTCTTTTGATCCTTTTTTGCTTTACTTACACAAGGCGGATAAAAGGATTCACCAAATAAGTCCTCACCTTTTTATAAGATTTGTAGTGCGTTTAAGGATCGATTTTTAGAATAAATCTTTGGGGGAAATTACGTTTTATATGATTTATCACAAAAATCAGATCAACAGATACTCCTTAAAATCATGGGATCGTGTCCCTGGATCAACAAAGGGTTTTTTTTATTATTAATACATGCAAAAAGCTGACTTGTTCCCGTGATACATGGCGATTGATACTGCACATTTATTAAAGTTCCATCAAATCGAAAAAATATATTAGCATTTTGGTATGCACGTTTCACACAATGGAATTATTCAAATATTTGCAAATGTAAAGCCTCGCTTTATTAATGAAAATAAGTACAAATCGGAATCGTTTGTTTTAGCAACCCTCTTTGACATGCTACAATCGCGTTATTTCTTGCGATTAGATCAATAACCACATAAAACGCACGGCTACATGATAGAATATTTCTATTTATGCTAAGGAGTATCAGCCCCCGCACACTACCATCTTCATCGCCACAAGTTCTCAAACCCCTCACTAAGGGCTTTTAAATCGTTTGTAATTAATGGCTGGAGCTAACTTTATTTCCTTCGTCATAGTCATATAAGTCCTCGAAATCAGATCCGGGATTAGAAGATGGCTTTTTTAGCATTCCTTTCACGATTTAGCCTTCTGGTATGAACACTATGTTCTAAAGGGTTTCTTTGATGCAAATGGTTGATTGCATACATCACATCAATTTGGGATAGCTAAATACAACATGTTACTACATTAGCATGATAATTTATAAATTATCGTTTACACCTGGAATTATGAAACGCTTACATTGGGCTACAAGATTAATTTTATTTGGACCCGGATTACTAAAATGCATGCTGATCTTCCTTCGTTTCGTTCTGGACAATTACTAACTAAAATTAAAAAAAGTAATATATGTTATATAATTGTAGATTTATTATAAAGTTAACTGCTTATTGGATTTAATAATATAATATTTATAAATTATGTGATTTTATTAAGTGGAATATAAGATTTTAATTAATAATTATATAATATATATTATTAGTCTAACTAAAAAGAAAAGATACATAATTTTTTTTTATTTATCTGAAAATTTTCTAGAGTTCTGATATGCTTTGATAGTTAACTGAAAAGTGAGATTTATTTTTTTATATTTTATTATTTGTTATATTAATAATTTTTTTTGGCAATTATTATTTTATTTTGTTTATTTATTATATTTATATTCCTTATTTTTTCTATTCCTTTTATTTGTTATTAAAATATATTTCTTAATTTTAATTAATAATTTTTATAAATTAAGTTTTCATTGTTAGAAATCTATAACTAATTGTAAAATAAATAGAAATAAAAAAAATTAATTTTTAATTATTTATTAAGTTTTTTTTAAAAAAATTTACCTTCAATATAAGTGATATTCTTTATAATAGGTTTGTATTCAATAAAAAGGCATTTCACTTGATCAGTAAATGTCTATATTAAGTAAGATTTTTTTTTTCTAATTAAAATGAAATATAAATATAAATAAATTTTTTATATAATATTAATAATTAACCAATCAAAATTTAAGGCAAAAAATAGTATTATTCATTTAAAATAAAAAATAAATTTAAATTTACTGAAAATTACTAAAATAGCATAAATAATTTTTTATTTATTTATTTTAATTTTAAAACTAAAATAAAAAGCAATTAAATTACTTGTTTCAAATAACTCCTTCTAATTTCTTTAAAATTAAGTTATTAATTTTATTTGTATATTTATTCTTTCTATTTTTTTTTTCTAAATAATAGACAGCAAAAAAAATAAAATTTTAAATTATAATTAATAAAATCATGAGTTATAAATATTATAATTTGATTAGTTGTTAAGTTTAGCAAGAGAAAAGAAGATAAAATGGTAAATTTATAATAAACTATTATATATATATAATATATATAAAGCTTTTATTAGGCTTATCTCATTGTGTGTAATATATACCAATAGGATAATGTTTATAATATTTTATTAGTTACTATTGCTTTAATATATGAGAGATAATTGTAGAGATGCAAAAATTTTTATAATATTAACTATAATTAACCATCTAAACCATATAATGCATTTTTCATGGTAGCTGACATTACTCTTTTTTTAACTTACTTAGTCAGATACTATTTTACAAGTATCCCAGACACATCTAAAACAAGTTATACTTTACTAATAGAGAAAGAGCAAATTCAGCCAAATTTAAAAATTCAAAAACCAGTTTTTTTTTTAGATAATACCAGTAATTTATTTCCTTTTTAGAAAGTAGCCAGTATTATTATAATTCTAGCTCTGAAGAAATACTTATATATATACCGATGCCCCCCCCCTTGGGGGTCTCTAAGGTATCGGTAAATATTTAGTTATCTATGGAATAACAAGTATTTATTATATGTACAAAATTAATGGATGCGTAACTGTTTGGTATCGGCTATCACTCAGATACGTTATGATTAACGTTATGTTTTATTTTATCTTTTGTATAACAAATTTATAATAGCGTAACCATACGTTATTTACTTTAAAATTAAAAACTTCTTACCTTAAAATTTTAAAATTTAAATTTTATCATGACTAATATAAGACAAGAATTTGTTTTTGCTGCAATTCAAAGAGCTGATGCATTAACAGATTCTTACATTCGCAATGACGTAATAAAACGATATGAATTTGTAAAACAAACAATTCTTGATGATGAATCACTTACAATAGATGAAAAAGCAAAAGCAATAAAATTTATAACAAAAGATTATGATTATTTTAAAGTTTTAAGTAATAAAGGAACAAAAAGATTATGCGAAAATTGTTCTTTGGAATGCTTGGCTACATTATATTGTGAACATTGCGTCCGAACTTATTTAAAAAATAATTTTTCAAATTGGACATCTGGAAATAATAATGTTGATTATTTAATACAAAAATGTCAAATTGAATCATTTCGCCCAAATAACATAATTGAATGGATACCATACAATAATTTACAAAATATTAAATATAGGGCCAGAGGTGGATGCTCAGAAATTTATTCAGCAAATTGGATCGATGGAAAATACATTAAATGGAACTCCAAAAAACAACAATTAAAAAGAACAGGAACATTTGAAGTAATACTTAAAAAATTGGAAAATATTGAAAATGCTAATAGAAGCTGGTTTGAAGAGGTAATAACTTTAATAAAATTCTAATTTATAAATTTTAAATGTGTAATACATTGTTTTCATTGTTTTTAAAATTTTTTATAGGCAAAATCACATTTAACATTAAGTAACAAATATGGAGAATTTGTCAGATGTTATGGTTTAACTCAAGATCCAATAAATAAAGTTTATATGCTTGTAATGCGTTTAATGGATATAGATTTAAGAAAATATTTAGAGTATCAACGTACATGGAAAGAAAAAATAAATGTAGCTTATGGTATAATTTATGCACTTTATAGAATTCATTATGATGGAGCGGTTCATCGAGATTTACATTCTGGAAATATTTTATGTTCACAATATAATGATTTTTGGTATATAGGTGATTTTGGATTTTGTGGACCTGCTGATAAACCATTAAAAAGTATATATGGAAATCTTCCTTATATAGCACCCGAGGTTATATTTGGAAAAGAATATACTTTTGCATCTGATGTTTATAGTTTTGGTATACTTATGTGGGAAATTTCATCAGGACAATCACCTTTTAATACTTACGAACATAATTATGATCTTGCAATGAAAATAGTTAATGGTATGAGACCAAAAATTGGATCAGGAGTCCCATCAAAATATAAAGAAATAATGAAACAATGCTGGGACGCCAATCCATCAAAAAGACCTGATGCGGCTACTCTTTTCGATGAAATTCAAAAAATGCGGGAAGATTCATACAATAATGATAATGCAAATGAATTTAATACTTTAGAATATAATTCTTCTCAAATTTCTCAAGTCAATTCAAATTCAAGTTCTAATCTACATTTATTATCAACTAGTAAACTTTATCAGTTCGGAAATTTACCAGAACCAAGAAATGCGACTGAGGGTAAGTTATGAATTCAGGATAGCTTATTTGCTGTAAAATAAATATTAATTCTTTATTATTAATACCGATTTAAATAAATAGAAGAACAAGAAGGTAAATATATGATTATTACAGTATAATTACTGTTTATAACTTTTTTAATTAGCAGTTAAACTTTAAAATTAATTTATTTTTAATAGCATTTCATAGCAAACCTTATGATTTTAATATACCCGATAATAGTAAGTATACTTACTATATAAATGGTATTATAATATGTTCATATTCTTAAAAAAAAGTTACGTTATTTATTCTAATATTTTAATTTAGTCGATAGTTTGTTGTCAAGCGATCAAGTTGAACTTGGATTTTCTGTAGATATTAAGGAGATAAAAGTAACGAAACTGAAAATAAAAATAATGAAGTTAAAGATAATAGTATTAAAATTGGATAAATAAACCTTGTGATGTTACTTAGCAAATGTTAGTAATTTTTTTTTAATTTCTTTCATATTTTTTATTTATGGAATAATTTATGTGTGTGAAAATTTTGTGTTATTATATTTTCAATTTTTATTTATTTATGATAATTATAGCATCTAATACAGAATCTCTAGCTATTATTATTATATAGTCGGGATCAGCAAAAACTATGAAAGCGCGATTATTATGCGAAACATTTTTTTCTTCAATCCTAAAATTTCATATATTTCACTCTTTAAACTGTCTTAAGTGTAGTATTCTAAATCAGTTCATTTTATAAAGCAATTATGGATAGACATTTCATATGCCGCGATAAATTTAATTTTGATGAATTAAAAAAATTTCGTCAAAAAATTTTTTAATATAATTAGAAAATGTCAAAAAATTACCGCGAGATGATCATCACCGCACCAGCGAATATTAGTGGGCGGAGTTTCATGATATTTTTAATTCTACCCGAAATTATACTCTAATTCTGGTAAGGTGACAATCACCAGTGGTGATATTTAGCAATACTCAATTAATCTCTCATTTCATATAAAATAATAATTTTAATAAAATTAAACTTTGTATAAAAAATTTGAATTATTGGTAAAACAAACACTATTATTCTCTTAATGTGATAGCAGTATTGATAGCCGAACAAGTAGCATCAAAAAATTTTTCTACTAATCCCTCCGTGTCTGGAGTGCTCCTGAAATCAAACACATTAAACTCTCCAATTATGTTTTTAAATTCACTAATCATCGTTTTGGTTAATCCCGTAATCTCCCCGAAAAAGTAAGAAATTTTTGCCGACTGCATTTCTCCTAGTACACCTTCTGCAGTTAGACCATTTGGGTCTCCATCCGGATAATTATCATCTGTATAAGTGAAACGACGGCCATGTGGCGGACAGTCACCGATATGTAAAAGGACGCGAATATCATTTCTCCATGTCATTCTAGATACGGCTGCGTCAAGACCGCCTAAGACATCTTCTGGAGTATCTCCACCGCCTGAAGCTGAAACACCCGATAAGCTATTTTTGAAATTTTCGGGAGAATTGGTGAAGTCAAAAATCTGCAAGCGATTTGAGCCATCACAATGATCACGGTAGCCACAGAAACCGATCCGAATTCTAATTGCTGGTTCCATATTTGCCATGTAATCTACCACTTTTTTGATAGAATTCTTGACACCTTCAATGTAGCTTCCCATAGAACCGGTGCAGTCCATAACGAAGCAAAGGTCAACGTCCATTTGAGCGTTTGATGTACAATATAATTTTCTTCGAATAATATTTGATCTATTAAACCATAGAAATGACAATACGTTTAACGAGAAATTCAGTAAAATAATCAATTAAAATAGAAATTAAAAACCTATTGAAATATTACTTCTTGAAAACTGTACAAAACAATAGATATCAAGGAAAGTGCGTTTATATAACATGCACGTAATGAAATTTTTTTTTTGTACACTTTTTTTATGATTGATGAAATTGGATAAGGCTATATTTAAAATGGAATAAGGGGAGGAGTAAAAGTGTAATGAAACAAAACCTGTTAATTCAGGATCATTTTCACACGGTATATGAATTATGTATGAATGACAAAATCAAAAAAAAATCAAACCTGTTATTTGACCTGTTGAATTAGTGATATAATTTTAATTATCACATTACTTTATATATGAGTGAATGATTATTCTTTTTTTTTAAAAAAAAAATTTCATAAAAAATAAAAGTTGAAAATTTATAATTAATTAGACGAATATTTTTCGTTAAAAATGAGTTGCTATGGAAAACATAAAGAAAAAATCAACGAACATAATTCTCAATCAGATTATAGCAAATTTTACAAACAAGAATTAACAAAAAGTCAAAATGAACTAAATGAAACAAAAGTAGAATTTAATAAAATGAAACGTAAGCTAGAAGAAAAAGTTAAAGAATACGAGGAACAATTAAAAGAAGAAAAACAAAAATTTGACTTAAAATCAAAAAACTTAGAATCAAAAGTCAAAAATCTTGAACGTGAATTGTCTAATAAGGAAAAACGAAATATTCAAAATTCAAGAGAAACAATTAAGAGAGAATACGAAAGACGATTGGAAGAAGAAAGGCGAAAATCCAACTCACAAATAAAAGCATTAGAAGCAAAAGTCCAAAATCTTGAAGGTGAATTATCTAAGGAGAAACGAAATATTCAAAGCTCAAAAGGAACAATTAAGAGAGAATACGAAAGACAACTGGATGAAGAAAGGCGAAAATTCGACTTAAAATTAAAAAAAAATGTAGAAGAAACAGAAAAATGGTATCAACAAAATTTCAATCAGTTAAAGGAACGTTATGATGAGTTACAACTAGCAAAAAAAAATATGGAAACAAATATGGAAAGTAATATCATTAATTTAGATCAACAATTAAGAGATCAAGAAAAAAATTTTAAACTACAGTTTAAGCAAGCGAACGAAAAACATAAGAAAAATATTAGTGATATAAGACAAAAATTAGATGAGAAGGGAAATGGTTTGCGTGAATTAGAAGAAAAAAATTTAAAACTGAAAGAAGAAGCATCTAAATATCAATCGGCGCTTGGTGTTGCAACAAATATTCGTCTTGGCGATGGTGATCAAAATCATTCGGTTAAATTAAAACAAGATATCTTAAAATTGCAAACCACATTGGAAAATTACGTAACTCATTTGAAACCTAATATGAAAATTAATATTAAAAAAGTACAAGAACTTGCGCGAGAATATGGTTGTATAAATGAAATTACTGCAAAAAATCCAAATAAGCTTTTCATTAAAGCTGTTTTACAACGTAAGGTGTTAGACTTAGTATGCGAGTTTTCTAATGAATTTGTTAAATTCCGAGATGGAAACTATAAACTCGAATCTGATATCGATTCAAAAGCAAAAGAATTATTGAATCTAATCAAGTTATTCTCAACAACTCGTGCAGGAACTGATGGGGTCATTGATGCTTCGATAGTAAAAATACGTCAACAAGTTTATGGAATTCTTGGTAATCGTGGATTTAACAATATAATCGATAATGATGGAAATATGCGAATGCATGACTTTATAGCTCATTTTAGCAACGAACTCAATAAAATGATGAATCAATATCGTGAAATCAACGATATTAATAGAAAAAAACAAATTGATGCAATGGCGCCAAAACTTATTCAAGATATTTTCAAATTATTTTGGTTTCGCACAAATGTTCAAGAGCCAGAAATAAAAATTGAATATTTTAAAAGTAACTGTATAATTGATCCAAATATGATGAAAGGAACGTGGAATGATGATGATGAAATCAATAAATTACGCGTAGACATATGCTACTTTCCTCTGGTTGGACGAGATTTTGATTCTTCAGACGCAAGAATATATACACCTGCAAAAGTATTTCCGCGAGAGATCTGGTGAATAAGCATACGAACAATATTGTTACTAGAGATGATAACATTTTTGCGCAAAAGGTAAATTTTATTTTTATGTAATGAATAAATATAGTATATACGTACAGTATGTAAAATGAAATAAAATTCTATTGAATTTAAGATGAAAATGAAATAAAGATAATAATGTTTATTTGTATCGATTCACAACTTTATTTATTGCTAAATGCAGTCTAAAAAGGCGTAAACCTATTTCAAATATTCGAAAAATTTAAATACTTTGCCAATTTTAACTGTTTCTTTCTTTGCTCTTCTGACAAAATAAAAGCATCTCCAGGTCTCAAGCAAATTTTACTTTGCGTCACGAAAAACAGCTGTCATAGTGATCTTCGTGATGATCAAAAATTCATTGAAATCTCCGATTAATAACATTGTAGGACATTTACTGTAGGACCTTTTTCATAACAATTATCAAATTGAACACAAATCATGTAATATTTTTTTCTTTTACGACCGGATCAAACATCTCATATCACGTATTGTATATAAGAGCCATTTTAGTGGAATCGTCTCTTGTAAATTGGTTTTGATAAAAATTCTTCAACCATATATTTATTGTCCATAATGATCATCGAGTTTTTTCCTTAAATAATCAAGCAGAACTTTTGCAATAATCACCAACACTTTTTCGTCAATTGATTATATCACATATTCATTCATACATCATTGAACCTTCATTCAAAAATTAAAAGAGAAACTTCATTTAAAGGGCTAAAAGGATTAAAATGATTAAAAATCGTACAATCTATGATAAAAACCATAGTTGACAGGAATAAACTTGTTTTATACAAATTATTATTTGATTAATTGCCACTTTGGATTTGGCAATCGTATATAGAAACAATAACGAATATTTTAAGTTAGTCACAATCATAAAATTTTACCCATAATGGTTTATAATCAATTCATTGATATGGTTGATAATACGTAAATTTACGCTCATTTTTTATTTATACAATAACAAAATAATAAAGTGATGGCTTATCAATGGAACTAAAATTTTTTTTTTGTTAATTGTGTTGTCTATGAGTAAGTTTCTAAAGTTGACATTGGTGCAAAAAAATGTGGCAAAAAAAAATTCACACTTACGTTATGTTATTCCGTAATAATATTTACTATTTAACAAGATATTTTAATTGCCTGATAAATGACTCGGTCCTGCGGTCTTAAACGGTCCTGGCCGGTCTTTGGAAATTTTTTTGAAAAAGTAACGAAGTTGCGCCTCTAAATTTTTGGGCGCAGTAGAATTGGTTAAGGACTGAAAAGTGGCAAAATTTGGGTTTAATCCAATCAGCCAATTCAAGACTAGATTAGTTTTTATGACCAAAATCTATTTTTTTTCGATCTTTAGCTAATTTGGTCTCTGCTAGCTTTAAAAAAAGCAGAATAGAGGCCAATTTTGCCAGTTATCGGACTTTGCCAATCCCGCTGCGGCATAAAAATTTCAGAGAGATTTTTCTATAAAGACCGAATAAGACCGAAAGAACGAAGAACGGCTGAACATCTTTAAAGACACCAACTGTCATTATAATGTCTCCTAGTTCCCTACACAAGAGTAATATCATGGGAATTATCGGCACTAGCAGCAAAACTAAGAGGAAGATCTTTGTGACCTTTGTCAAACCCAATTGAATTGTTTAAATTACATTTCTTAGGAAGTAAGCCACGTTTTACAAGGTGCATCAAAAGATGAATTAGGTGAAGATATTTAAAAAGGAATAAATAGTCACTTGTATGATGTAGTGTAGCAGTTATGATTGTAATTACGGTAAAAAAAGATACTTTTTTTTTAAAAAAAAATTAGTTAACAAAAAATTATTTAGTAATTTAATTCTTATTTTTCTTTATTTTTCTTTTAAATGTTCCTACTAAATTCGATAATAATAAGATTACGATAATAATGAGTGAGTGCGTTATTATTGCAAATTTGATCGAAAGGGAAAATATTAAGAATTTAAGGACGTTAGTAACCAGTCAAATCGACCTATTTTACTTCGGGTCAGAATCAAATTGTCGATAATAATAATGCTCCCAATACTTAATTTAAAGCTGAAGCTGGAGAGATTATTGATTGAATTCGAGAAGTTAATATGATTTTTATATTGCAATTCATATATTCATATGTAATCAAAAAATTTATTTTTTTATTTTCATGTAGTGGTGGCACAGTAGATCCAAAAACGCGAGAATTATTAGACAACGACAAATTAATAAGTGAAATAACTCAACGAATGGGTTTATTGAATTTATTTGTGGTAAAATAGGAAGTTCTGCTATTAATATTTTGAAGAAAAAGAAAATTACTTGTTAATCGACAATATTTCGTACAAAAATTCTATTTATGGGACGTCGTAAACGCACGTGAGTATGCAAACAAATTTATGTCATGTGAGAAATTTTCCGGTTTTTTTTGTCACACCGTAAAATGAATAACATTATCTGTTAAAAAAAAAAATTATAATTAGTCTAGTTTTCATTAAAATGAATTTTTACCGAAACAAACATCAAAAAATAAAACATAACGTTCGAAATAATCAAGCTGAAGATGACGAATATCCTTCTCAATCAAGTTTGAATGATTATAGCGATGTTTACAAACAAGAACTAACAAAATGTGAAAAAGAACTATCTGAAATAACAGTAAAATTTAATAGGATGAAAGAAAACAATTATGAGTTAGAAGTAAAGGTTCAAAAACTTGAAGATGATTTGTTGCAGGAAAGAAAAAAAAATAATTTTATAATTGAAAAAAATCAGAAAGAAAAACAAGAACTCGACTCAAAATTAAAAATTTTAGAAGAAAATTATCAACGAGATATAAATCAATTAAATGGTCGTTATAATGAGTTAGAATCGTCAAAAAAAAATACGGAAAGATATATGGAAAGTTGTATCAAAAATTTAGAACAGCAATTAAGAGATCAAAGAATAAAATTTCAGCAAGAATTTAAGCAAGCACATGAAAAATACAAGAAGAATATTAACTATATAAGACAAAATTTAGATGAGAAAGGAAATGGTTCACGCGATCTAGAAGACGAAAATGCCAGACTTAAAGAAGAGGCATCTAAATATCAATCAGCACTTGGTGTTGCAACAAATATTTTCCTTAGTGATGGCGATCTAAATCATTCGGTTAAATTAAAAAATGATATCTTAAAATTGCAGAACATATTGGAAAATTACGTAACTCATTTGAAACCTAATATGAATATTAATATTAAAAAAGTACAAGAACTTGCACAAGAATATGGTTGTTTAAATGAAATTACCGCAAACAATTCAAATAAGATCTTTATTAAAGCTATTTTACAACGTAAGGTGTTAGATTTAATATGCGAGTTTTCTCATGAGTTTTTTAAATTCCAATGTGGAAACTCTAAACTTGAATCAGATGTCGAATCAAAAGCAACAGAATTATTAGAATTAATCAAGCTATTCTTAACAACTCGTGCCGGTACTGATGAGGTTACTGGTGCATCAATAATAAAAATACGTCAACAAGTTTATGGAATTCTTGGTAATCGTGGATTTAACAATATAATCGATAATGATGGAAATATGCGAATGCATGACTTTATAGCTCATGTTAGCAACGAACTCAATAAAATGATGAATAATTATCGTAAAATCAATGATCTTAATAGAAAAAAACAAGTTGATGCAATGGCACCAAAACTTATTCAAGATATTTTTAAATTGTTGTGGTTTCGCATAAATGTTCAAGAACCAAAATTAGAATGTGAATTTTTTGAAAATGATATGATTAATCCAAATTTGATGAAAGGAGCATGGAATGATGATGAAATTGATAAATTACGCGTAGATATATGCTACTTTCCTCTCATTGGAACTAAGTTGAATTCTTCAGATGCAAAAATATATACACTTGCAAAAGTATTTCCGCGATATATTAGTGCTTCAAGTGAGGCTAATGAAAAAGTATATGAATAATATTATTACTAGAGATGATAATGTTTTTGCACAAATGACACGTAGTGAATAAATTTATATGTACAGTATATAAATAAAAGAAAATGTATCCAAAACTGAAATTTGAACAATTGTAAATCTGCTAACTTCAAAATAGCATATATTAAATCTAAAAGAAAAAAGAAAAAAAAAGTTTAAAGATAATATTGTTTATCTGCATCCATTTCAAAGATCGAATATTTGTATTATTGCATACCGTCACTGTAACGAAATTGAAATTTAGGAGCAAAGCTTACTTCGTAGATTGCTGCGTCACGAATAACAGCCGTCATCCGTGATGTGATTCATTTAATTCTCTTTGTAAGTATTCTGATTATCGGAACTTCGTAGGACATTTACTGTGGGACTTCATGACAGAATGACAGAACAAAAGTCAGTCGAGTCGTTTTTCAACGACCGAGCCAAACATGTGTTTGATTGTCTCGTAATCAAAGTATCTCTTCCATCCTTCCTCGCTTACATATAGAATTATAACGGTCGAGATCCATTTCGTGGTTAAGGATTGCAGCATTTCATTTGCTGTAAATGAAATTTTTTAATCTCGATCAATTTAACGATAAAAATATTTTTTAGGTTTCGATATTAATCTTTATTTACTGTATTGATATGAGTTAAAGTTTTCCTAAATTTGGATCTTTTTTTATTTATACAATACAAAAAAAAATAAAAATTATTCTTAAATAATATATATAATATATATTATATATTATATCCGTAAGTGTGAAATTTGATCCTTCAGAAGAAATTGTGGAGAGTCGTGTATTGAAATGGAATAGTGCTACCATATTACATTTTATTATCTTTGAATTAATTTATTTTATTTGTATTTTTCTTTTAAGATACCTGTGTAGTATAAAGAATGACCCACTATCGTAAAAACTTTCAGATGAATACGTAAAAATTTTGGTGAGCATAGTCATGGTGAATCAGTAAAATTAATCTATAAAGTAATTAAGCATTTTAAATCAACATTGATACTATGTATGTAACAAAATCTTTTGGATGCAAATTTATTGAGGTTTCTGCAGTAAAGTCACTTCGAAAATATCAATTGGAGTTACCTGAACGGATAGTATAGTAATTATGAATATTACTACTATCTTACAGTACTTACTTCTACTGCTGCTAAAATAAGAATACTTACTGGTCATTAATGTAACATTATTTTACAACTATAATTAGAACAAGGTTATTAGATATTTGAATCAATATTAGTAATAATATTCTAAAATTTATCTTCAATTTCATTTTCTTCTGCCGGTTCCTTTGCACGAGATAAGCCTAACTTTGTACATTACTGTAAGAATATAAATTCTTTTAATTATATTATTTCTTATATTTCTCTTTAAGAATTATAAATTTATAGATACTGTCAGCAGTAACTCCGAATAAATCACAAATGGTGCAAAATGGTTAGAGATCTTGATATTAAAAATTTATTCTTATAAATGTAAAAAAAAAACTTACTTTTAGGCACCGACAATTAATGAATTATAATAAAGTATCCAATATTTTGAATGTAGTGATATCGCAAATTGCGTATCTACTGCGCAAATAAGATATTAAATGATCATTGGGAAAATAAGCGTGGAAGAATCTTGGGATTTATATTAAACTTTTAATAGTTGCTTAATAGTCATAATGATTATTAATTATTTTTGCTATTTTTCTTTCTTGCAAATTTTCGGAGTTATTTTTTGGGCAATTGAAGGTAAGTTATAAATATAAAACGGTTTATTTATATAAAAATAAATAAATTGACTACTTAATAATGTTCATTTCTTTGTTAATTAAATAAACAGAAGAACAAGAAGGCAAATAATAATTACAGTATGACAATTATTTTTATTAATATAATAACTTTAATAATTAAATATAATTCTTAATGGCATTTCATAGCACACCTTATGATTTTGACATACCCGATAATAGTAAGTTCGCTTTAAAAAATGGTATTATAATATAGTCATATTAGTGGGATCACCCAAAAATCCTGACACCTATAATATCGACAGTCTATAATCCGCAAATCCCGATTGAATCAAAATCCTGACAGTCACAGAATCCCGATGATCTAAAATTTTGACAGCCAAAATCCTGGCTGAGATTCGATCAGATGAATTTGAGATTAGTTAATTTTTTTAATTCAATTGTAGAAGATAAGGAATAGTTTAGTAATCTAGTAATATACTGTACATAATCCTTTTAACTAAGATAAAATTTTTTTTCTTTTAATTTCATTAATAATATGGTAACGTTAGTTAATTTGCATTAATATTAATAAAATTTGCAAACAATTTACATTGGTATTAATAAAATTTACAATATATTAACCCGTTACTGCGTCATTGCATTTTTAAAATTATATTTAAAAAAAAAACTTAGTGAATTTTGATTGTCAAGATTTTTAACTGTCGGAATTTGTGACTACCGGGATTTTATTTCAACGGGATTTGGGTTTGTCGGGATCTTGGTGTCGGGATTGTAGACTGTCAATTTTATGGTTGTCTGGATTTTGTGGTAAACCCGAAAAATAGTCTTCTTTCTAATTCATCTTTAAATCAAAAATTTATTACAATTTTGAAATATTCAACATCAAAAAGTGTCGAGCAATTAACCTTACAATTAACACCATTTAAAACATATTGGTACAACACTTTTTGTGTAAAACAATGCCAACACCATTAAAAACATGCAGTACAACACATTTTAAAGTATAAACTATAAAGCAATACAATAGATGTTACGCATATTAATTTATATATTGTATGTAAAATACAAATTTGTATTTATCACATTTATTATTTCATTTCAAGACTTACTAAAAAAAAAAATATAAAATAAAATAATAATAATAATAATAGAATAAAAAAAATAGAACACAATAAATAAGACCTATATTGTGTTGATTTGAAGCGTAACATTGGCTAAGTATTTCTATAACAGTGCTTATCAAACAAGAGGTCTGTTGAAACTTAATTAACAAGCATTTAAAATAGATGCTTTTTAAAGCAATTTACCCAGAAATACATAATAATTGCGGAGTTTTGGCACATCTAAGTCCCTGGCAGCATGGTATGTAGGTACAGCTTGTACCAACTGTAGCGCATCTTGTCCTTCGAGCTATTAATGAAAAGAATAATTATTAAATGTTTTGGTATTATTGAAAACGAAATAAAAAAAAAATTCTAAAGATATAATTACCTTCATTAATTAATGGCGAAGCAGCCACACTAACAAGAGCGTAGATAAGGCAAATTACAACAGTAAGCAAAAGAAATTTCATGATTATTTTAATATTGTAAAAAAGAAAATTTGAAAGAGTATGTTATAATAACTTTTCTTTTTTATAGAGTAATATATGTTTCGAATATTAACACAGTTAAAAAATATGGGGAAAATGACTTTATATATATAGAAAAATTGCCAGTTGATTTCCGTTCTTAAGAATATTGTATTTTCCTTAGTGAGGTATCATACTATATATTGTCTCTCTTTTCTATTAGGTTAATCCTTCATAATAAGTGTGATTAATTAAGGGGATTGTCAATATAATAAGGAATATTTTCTACTAAAAAATGGACGATACTTTCCTTATATAGTCGTTTTATATATGGGGCAAATTACTAGCCCATCAGTATGCAGCGAATTAACAATCTTGTTTTATAACGAGAAAATAAATTATTTTTTGGACTATTCAATGACTAATCTTGTTTCGTATATTTCCAAAAACAATAACTAAATATTTTATTCTAGCGATTATCTTCAATAAAGACTGTCTAGTGTATTAACTATAAGTAAAAGTCATATGATATACTGTTGAAAAAAAAATAATTTGCAAAAAAAAATTATACGTTCATATGCAAAATAATGAATTTACTATGTACGCGTGTCAGATTTACACCTTAAAATATAGGAAATTTCAATATTTTATTTTGCTATATTGCGTTACTTTTTTGAAATATTTTTATTATTAGAACCAAGTGTTTGTGAAATGGGTGAAAATCTATTCCGCGCGTGAGATGTGAAAAACACATTTTTTTATTATCTTTATTATCCACGAATTTTATGTGCCGATTTTAGACGAATCGGCAATTAATCTTTTTTTTACTTATTTTTCGTGAATAAATGTTTTCAGGATTATAAAGTTATTTATTTATTGCTTAGTAATTAATATCAGTTACTTGAATGTTAAATAAAGTGATAATATCCTGGAAAAAAAATGATCTCTAAAAATAATTTATTTTTTTATTTTCATTGCGCGATGAATATCTTTCATAAAATGTTAATTGCTACCATTTTCGGTGAAATGTCCTTTTGGCGAAACATCCCTTCGGCCAAATGGGGTTTCGACGAAATGTACCGTAAATTATAATCAATAAAAAACAGAAATAAGTATAATTTTATTCTAAATAAATAAATATACATAAATGCGCCCCCGGAACTGTATACATAATTTTCAAAATAATGCACCTAGCTAAAAAGGGTGTGCATTAAAAAGAGCAATTAATTATAAACATACAGTATAAGCTTGGGACCGGACTAAAGGGTGCATTTTATGGAGGATATATATAGTAGGTTCCGAGGTAAGTGAGTATGAGAAGAATTAACGATTTCGTTCATAAATTGAACGTATAAGCTTTGAGATATTTTTATACCCATTGGTATCCCTGTAATTAATAAGAAAGATATCAAGCAAAAGCTCCCGAAGTTCAAACTGCTTTAATGATCTCACTAAAGTTGATGTCTTTCACAGGTTAGGACGTGGAAGATTATTAAAGAGAGGGATGGAAATAAGGCGATACTTTGTTTTTTGCTAGTCATCAGGACGGTTTGAAATTTGAGTCCATTCCTCAAAACCAAACCTTAAAAGAAAGATCAATCCAGGCATTAAACTCGTACCAAAAATTTGAAACCTAATATACATGTGACAAGGGTTGAAATTAATATGTTTTGAAACCCAAATTATTTAATTCATTTATTTTTATTTTATTACATACTAGAGAAACATACTGTACACTACAAAATTGCTCAAAAACATACATAATATTAACACTAAAAAACACATATTAAAAATTTTATATCGCTAGCACTCCATTAATTAAATAATTAAAAAATAATTTATTTTTGTAAATGATTAAATTATTAAATTAAAAAATGAAAAATACAATTGACGTCAGTATTTTTTTGATTTCTAATCTTAACGTTATATGTACTATAATTTAACGTTAACCCATCAATATTTAAGATATATGGTAAAAGTTTGAAAGAATAAAAGGGTAATGGTGATTTATATAAATCAACCTAATTTGGTAACGTGATTGAAAATACAAAATATATCTGATGGGAAAAAATTCATTCAAGCGTATTGTATAATAAATATTTTGAAAAAAAAATGACATGTAATTAAAATTTTAATTCAAGTGAAAATTAAAGAATGTAAAGTGTAAAACATATTTTCATAAAACTTAAATCTTTTTGTAGTATAACGACCGAATTTATCGCTACGCTGCAAATTTAGATATATGCATGTTTGACAAAATTTTCGAAACTATCATTGTACTATCGATATTCAATATTGTACACGAATAAACTATTGATTATTATCTTTATTTAGCAGTTAATGATGAAAACATCATGTTGCACGAGCGAGCGTAGGGTTTTAACGGTAGAATTGTAGAATTGTATATTTTTTTTTACAAACATTATGTTGCACGAACGTAGGGATAATTTATTCTGTATGGGAAAAACAATTTCGCCCATATCATTTGCGATTTTTTATAAGTATTTCTTTACAAAATTTTAGGGACTATTTATAAAAAAGTGAATAACATAATGTTTAATGATCAAATCTTTATATTCATGAACATTCATTCAATGATAACTTTTGTTTACCTAAAATGATTATTTCTGTCATTTATTATATGAATACCTAAATGTATGTTTCACCTGAGTAGCCAGAAATAGGTAACAAGAGATCGACCAAGGCCCCAAAATTACGCCAAAAAAGGAATGAACTACACATTATTACTTAAAAGAATCCTATAGAATCATTTCTACGCCGTTGCCAGAGGAGCGCATTTAATCTATTTTGACAATAAGAATATTTTCTTTAGGACAATAAGAAGAATTTGAAAACCACCAGCCCTAAAAGGTTGCGGTTCTCTTGGTCCTATATTTCAAAAGACGAACTTTATAGCCATAAAAGACCGAAATATTTATAGTTTTTTTGTCTTTTCATGTTTTAATTTCAGTTATTTTTATCTTTCGTTCCATTTTAATAACATTGTTTCCAATTAGTCTGTTTTTAACTTCATCATATAATGAAAATATTGTTAACTTATTGTATATTGTGTTTCATCCGATAATACTAAACTAAAGAAAAGTGCTAATAATAAAACCATACACAAAACACAAAACTTGAAATTTACCTCAAGGAATAGAAGTCTACAGGGAATTTCCATATGAGGCGACATCTTGATATTAAAATAGTAATAATATAATAATGAATATTTATTAAAATCCTTCACCATTCCAAAAGTGAATACTATTAATCTAAATATTATATATGATCTCCTATTATAACCAATACTCGATAGACGGTTGTTATCTTTTAGATTAAAGGTAGGAAAAGTTAGTAATACATGCTCACTAAATTAATAATTTCGATTTCTTGGTATGTAAATTCCCTTTGCTGCGGAGTTGTCTGTTAACAAACCTACAAAGGTTGCTTTAAAAGTTAAATGGATCACAAAATATATCAGCTGATTATTTGGGCGAGGTACAGATGTATAAATATTTATCACTATTTAAAATCATTTTATTAATTACTTTACTAAATAATAGACTAATAAAGAGTAATAAAGTACATTTGATCTTTATTCGAACAATTCTGACTTCTTTAAAGTTTTATGAAATGATGAGGATCCAAAAATTAAAGAATTTCTAAGAGGTGTCTTTTCAAATAATATTAATTTTATTTATGGAAAGATAAAACAAATTTTACATGATTAAGATGCACATCATAGATCAAAGTGTTTCATAAAGACTTTCATAATGAAAATATTAATAATGGGCGTCTTCACAGAGAACGTGATTGAGATTGAGATTGAGATTAGTGGTTAATCTGGTTTCACAAAAACGTGATTGAGATTAATTGATTAAAGATTAGAATAAGGTTTTAACTTCCTTACCGCACTTTTCATTTTTTAACAAAAATACCGCATATTTCAATCTTCAATAAAATGTATGCCGGCATATTTATTAAACGCGAAACACTTACTAGACGCGAACTTTTTTGTCATTTCCTTTAAACAAAATACAGTAAACTTCTTTCTTAATAAAAATGGAACAAACTCATAAAAATAAAAATGCTGCAAAAGGTGAAAAAACTACTAAAGCTTTATTGTCTTTTCTTATTGAAAATAAAAAAAGACTTGAAGAGTTAAAGTATAAACGTGGAGCTAATCATTCATTTATGGAAGGTTCATTTATGGAGGGTGCATTTATGCCCCTATAAAAACGAAATGTGTTAAATTTATTTTAAATTCGTGTTCATGTGTAATAAATGTCTAAAAAAGCACCATTTTATCCGATTTATGTCTTATTACAAATAAACAAAAATTAAACAAAATGGTGCTTTTTTAGACATTTATTACACATGAGCACAAATATAAAACAAATTTAGCACATTTCGTTTTTATAGGGTATGAAGAGTTGACTGTACAATCTAGATATAACAAATATTAATTTTGAATGGTTACGGTACGTTTTGCCGAAGCCATTTCGCCGAAGGGATGTTTTGCCGAAAAGATGTTTCGCCGAAGAGACGTTTCGCCGAAGAGACGTTTCGCCGAAGGGATGTTTCACCGAAGCCGTTTCGACGAATCATCCATTTTGCCGAGGACGTTTCGCCGAAACCCATTTCGCCGAAGCCATTTCTCCGAAATGAGAAATATCAATTTTATAAAATTATTAATCGTGTAATCATAAAAATAAAAAATTTTTTTATTTATTTATTAATCTCATCATGAACCTTAATTCGTAATTCATGTAAGATTATATGATGGTTTTACAATTCTGTGAAGATGGAAATTTGAGAAATTACTATATGAATAAAAAATTAGATCGATTATTATTCAAAAATTGATAAATTACAACAAATTGCAAGTGGACTTCTGGATATTCATAATTCTGGAAAAATAATTGTTAATTTTATTAATAAAGTGTGAATCAGAAGGCTCAAAATTTATATTTATATACATTTTAACATAATGGATTTTTTTAAAAAAAAATAATATAAAAAAATAAAAATTTTTCCAATTTTTCCAATTATCAACTTTTAAGAATTATTTGTGAAATTGTAAGATTTACAAATGTTACAATTAATACTTGAATAAAATAAGTAAAAATTTACTTATGTAAGAAACGCAGATTTCCCAAGGTTTCGGCAAAACGTCCTTTCGGCGAAATGGCTTCGGCAAAATGGCTTTCGGCAAAATGTCCTGATACCATTTTGAATATCCAAATTTAGACTGAAAAAAACAAAAAAAAAATCATCACAATAGAAATTAAATTACAATAGAAATTATATTGCAATATACGTTGACAAGTCGACATTGTTATATAACGACACTGAGATAAATAGCTATAAAGAAAAAAGATATTTCCTAAGGTCATTTGAAAAATGGCAAACATCGTAATCTCGAAAGCATCGTTAACAATTGTCAAATATTAAATATAGTTTCACAAATACTTTAAATACTTTTTCTCTATAATTCTATTTAGAGCTTTCTGTATAGGTGCCGTCGGAATTGCCGAATTGAAATTACGGCATCACAAAATATGGATTTTACCATTTTAAAAATATTTAACAAATCATCGAGACCAGCATTATAAGATTTACGAATTACGAATTATCTACGGCATAACCAGAATATTTACTTTGTGTAATTTTTGTATTTTTGACATTAAATAATTACGACATTACGGCGAATTAATATATTACGATATAGGCTTCATATGCCGTAATTAATTCCGATGGCAAGTAATATAGCTTTCTTTATGTTTTGTATGTTTCTTGATGCTGTCCGGATAACGCTCCAATGTATATCCTTCTCGATCTTTGCCTGGTTGAGACATTGAGACATTCTTCTATCAAGTACAAAGAATCATTATTGAGTATGTATTATTTAATTTGAGTTTATCAAATTCCAATTGACGATTCCAATTGACCAGTCTTTTTATGTTTTACATAATCATACGAATCTTCTCAATATTGAACAGTAGAAGCTGTTACCTTTAAGCCCGCCCGGTTTAAGGTAGTCAGTTGTTCAAGTGAAAAAGTTTCATTTGACATTTATTTTATTTTATTTTATTTTAAGAAGAGCGGTTATTCTAGTCAATCTATTTCACAGATACAGGAACGGCACAAGTCCGACTATACTGACTATTAAAAATTGAGCTATAATACCTATCCAAAACACGACCCACCCTTCAGAAAAAAAAAATTCTGCGGAATAGGAGACATACGCTACCGTCCGAGTGAAATTGAAAATACGGTATTATCTTATTTGTCCAGAAGTCACATGAAGATCTACAATAAAAACTTCACGAGTATAAATACCACGTGCAATTTAATAATAATATCGTGGGAAATAATATTTTTTTTTCTTTCAGGGATGACTCTTCTATTCGTAAACATATATATAAGAAAAAAAATATGATTGAAACTTCAAGCTTATAAATTTTATTTTCTGAATTGTTTATTATATTAAATGTTAGTAAATTAAGTTACGTAAGTTTTTAGTTTCTTTTTATGAGCAAGGACCTTTTGAGAATTAAAAATAAAGATTAAATCTCTTTGTTAATAAATACGAAACGGTTCGTTCCATATTGATCGTCTATCCTGAAACTTTACTTGGGACGATGTTTCACGAAAGATATAATAAACCCTTATACAGTTTCTAATGACAAGAGGGAATCTTTTTTTAGATAAAAATGGAAGGGCATTTCATTGCATCATGGACTTTATCGTAATGGTGAGGTCAGGATCCTAATAATTTGCAAGAATTTGATGGAGAACTTCCGGCAACTAGGCAGGAACTAGAATTAAAAATTGATTATTTCAGATACAAATAAAAGGTAAAAAGTAATTTGGTGAAGGGTATTTTGGATTGGAAGAACGTTGAACAACCATGATATTAACGAATTTGTTAAAATTTGATAGGTTTGACCATAATGCATCTACTAATTTTTGGACGGAATGACGGAATGTTATTGTTATTACATCTTCTAGAAGCTATTAATGTTTGTTTCGAGCATGATGAAGCATTGATTGATGAATTTTATTTACAAAGATTTGGAAATATTGGTTGGTCATTCATGATTTCAACTAATCAATATGTGAAGTCGCTCAACCAATAATCAATTTTCCTTGATTTGGATGTTATCCGTAAGTTATGCAAAAATTTAAGGGGTGAAGTGGTTATTTATATATAATATTAAATTAGATGTAGACAATTCTCTTATTAGTAGGAAAAGATTAAGAAATTAGTTAAAATTTCTCTTGTTTATATTGGAGTTCTTTTAAATATTTTCTTCAGATCAATAAGAGAAAGAATTACCATTTTTTTTACGTAATGATAGTTGAAAAGAAATATTCTTGTATAAAGTGAAAAGGATGTTTCAGTATAATAAAGAAAATGATTTAAATCTTATCATCAATTTTATAGCTTTTTATATCGCTTGAATTATTTTAGTGATCATGAAGGAAAGTTCTCGAGACGAAATCACGTGATAAAGGAAATATTATTATAAAATTAAATCGAGAGAAACACTTATTATCTCAAAATCAAAATCAATAATCCTAATAATTAACTATAATTAACTATAATTATGAAGTTATGATATGAAAACAAACTTTGAAATCATATAAATTACTTCAAGTCAATTAAATCATCTTTGATCTTTTTCATTGTTTCCATTGTAAATACTTTTAATAATTTAGGGGTCTTATCTTATCGACTCAATTTGGGTATGACTATTTCATTTTTGGATTTAATTCACGAGAAATGAATCCAATTTTTACAATAAATCATGATATTTATCACCAGAATATTACCAAAAAAAATAAAAAAAATAAGGGATAAAAAATATTAAGTCCACATATTTTCTAATTCATTTGATTTTTCTAAAGATAACAATGTCTTCACGAATTTTACCCGAAGAGCGTATAATTTTAAATGTTGGCGGTATAAAAGTATTATGTTTATCATATTATTATTATTTTTTTTTTCTTTTTGATGCGCTTATTATATTCATTATATAGAATTAATAAAAATGTATATAAATAAATATGTATACGTATTTTTTTACGTACATAGTATGAAACTTATCGATCAACATTGATTGCACATCCCGATACTTTACTCGGAACCATGTTTCAAGAACGTAATCGTAGTCTCCGAAATCCCAATGAAAATGGGGAATATTTTTTTGACAGGAATAGTAAAGCATTTCATTACATCATGGAATATTATCGTACAGGTCAAATTCTTTGGGATACTCGAACTGTTCTTGGAGCAAGAAACGGTACCAACGTGACCAGGAAGGAATTAGAAGAAGAGCTTGATTATTTTCAGATTAAGCCAAGAGATACTAGGGTTGATGTTGCTTTGGCATCAGCTTCAAATATATTGGATAAATTTGTTCGAGCTTTAGAATCATTAATTTTAAAGCATGTATCTCAATTAGGAAAAAGTATCTTTATTAACGCGAGTCAAGAATTAATTTCAGTTAATAGAGCAAGAAGTGAACCTGAGATTGACCCTATTATTTTAAGAGCATTTAATTCTACGGCTTATCGTATGTTAAAAGAAGTTGAAAATGAAATTGCTCAACATTTATATTCAACTTTTCCTGAATTAAATATTGTTTGGAGAAGTGAAAGGAATGATAATGACCAATTTATTTCAATTCAACTTTCTTTTAATTATAGTTTAAAGATGATTTTTGATAATTCTCAAGTTGGAAGGAAAAGATTTAGGAGCGTTTAATCATTTTGAATTTCAAAAAGTAAATGTTTTTTTTTTTTTGAAATGTTCGTTTACAGATTTTTACAGATTTTGATAGTTTCACGTACGTAAGGAATTTTACTATATATATATATAATTTTTATGTTTTATTTATATATATATATATTTTATATTTTATATATTTTGTATGTATATATATTATATATATCAGATTTTTTTTTGGTGATATCTATGAATAAATAATATTTTGTTTTATTATATTTTAAAAATATATTTTATTTTCGTAATGATAAATTGACAAAAAATTGACAAGTTTGACATGATCTATTTAATATAATCAGCATTTAATATTAAAATTCATACCCGGTATTAAATTAAAGATAATGCACTCGTTTAAATTTTAAATATTTTAAATTTTAAGATTTCTTATGATCGATCGAGATCTTGATAAAAATGATCAAAAAAGAAAATTGACATTTTTTGTACCCGCGTACCCACGTATAAAATATATAAAAAAATAAAAAAATAAAAAAAAAATATTTTTCGATTATTTTCTCATTTTCTCAACATTTTTTTAAAAAATAAAAATTATAAAAAAACAAGATATTTATTTATATTTATATTAAAAATTGTGAAAAATTCACAATCCCTTTATTTTTTTTATTTTAATTTTATTTTATTTATTATTATTATATATTTTTTTAAAAAAAATATATATATATTATAAAAAAAAGAAAAAAGAAAAATAAAAAAAAAAATCTTTGCTAACAAATTAATAAAAAAATATATAATAATAATTAAAGATACTTTTGTTATAAAAGATAAATTTGATTTTTTTTTTTTTTTTTATTATTTCTTTTGTTTTTTTTTAAGTAAGCAAAAAAGAAATATTTCTCAAATTCATCAAATTCATCGGTTGTCATGTCTCAAAAAAAAATTTTTTTTTTTTTTTCTTTTGGTTTTTTAAAAAGCACAGCTATAAAAAAAACCACACCTTAAAAAAATTAAACATATGTGTAAAGATATATAAAAAAAAGGGGGCATAAAAAAATGGAATAAAATTTTAAAAGATAGGATTTTTGATGTAAATAATACAATATGACGAATATAAAATGATTATAAAAGAGGAGGTTTATATAATATGCAATATTAAAAAGAAAAAAAAAATAATAAATTTCGTTATGAAATAAGAAAAGAGAATAATTATGAATAAAATGTAATATATATAATGATAAATTTATTAATATAATAATAATAATAATTGAATGCCAAATAAAATAGTGAAAGTGTAAATACAAGGTTTTTTTTTAAAAAAAAAATTATTTATACATGAATAATAACATAATAATAACGTCGCATCGTCACATATAAATAGGAGAATATAATTAAATTATGCTTTGATTTGAGTGACTTTTGGACTTATCGAGGGTCTTTGATATGTTAATCGTTCGGATGATTGCATGGGGAATAATTTGCTATTGTTGTATTTGCTTTCATGAGAAAGTCCTTGGAAAGTCCTTTTTGGTAAAGATTTTAAAGCTGGTAATTCTCCTTGTAACACCATTTGACGTTGCGCTACAAAACTTCCTGGTGTTGGAATTGTATATTGTTCTTCAACTACTTCTTCAACTTCTTCAGCATATTCGTATCCGGAATATTCAGAATATCCTTCTCCTTGATCTTGATAATAATAATCATCTTCATTATAACCATTATATTGTTGTTCATTATATTGTTGATCATTATAATCTTGTTCGTTATAATCTTGATCATAATATTCATCACCATAATATTCTTCTTCTTCTTGATATTCATCATATTCATTATAATGACCATAATAACCTGGATCAGATGAATAACCGTAATAACCATTTTCTCCTGTTGGATCAGTTTCATAATCATAATCTGCATCATCATATTCGTATTCACCTTCAACATATTGTTCTTCATATTGTAACGTTGCTTCAGCACCATCATCAAAACCAGTTTGCATGATTGATGCTCGAACTTGTGCTGCTTGATATGCAAAACTTTTTGGATCTTTTGGCTTATTTTTGAATTTATAATTCGTTGGAACACTATTATCATCAGGTCTTGAACGATCAAACATTGCCCAAACAGCTGGAAGAGTTGGCATAACACTTGAAGCCATCGAATATTTTGATACTCTTGACATTCTTGAAGTAACTTTACTAACAGGTCTTGATTTTGAATTTCCTCTAACCCAAGGTATACTAAATGTACTAAAAGCGCTCATTTTTCTTCTTCGAGTAATAGTTTTTGTAGTAGCAACATCCCATTCAGAAAATACTTGAGATTCTTCTTCAATCATTACCCATTCACATTCATTTATTAAACCTTTTTTTGGTTCAATAAATACCCAATCACCCCATTTATCACCATCAGCTGCGGCAGTAGTTTCCATCCATACGTAAGGGAAAATCTCATCAACGGTTTCAATAGCCAAATGAGTTGTAATAGGTAAATCTTGAGCTCGGTCAATAATATCCCAATCTTCCCAATCTTCTTCTTTATCATTAGAAAAATCTGGAGAAGATTGAGTAGATTCAAAAGATCTAGCCCTTCGAGGTTTTCTTAATGAACTGAATTTAACAATTTTTCTACTACCACTTATTGATTTCTTTTTAATAAGAGAAATAACTTGACTCATTGACCTTTCTTTCTCTTCTACTTCACTTTGTAAACTACTATTATTTTTACTATTCTCATCATCTCTTATTGAATTTCTTATTGAATCAGCTGAAGTGAGAGTTAAACTATTTGATACATTATCAACGGAATTACGAAAACCTTTTTTTGAAAAATCATCCCAAACCATAGTTTGACGTAATGTAACACCGGAAACACCGGAATCATTTCTTGATAAAGAAATTTCTTGATTAGAACTTTTTTCTTTACTAGTAGAATCTGATAAACTTGAATTATTTCCTTCACTTGTTATACCACTTTCAGAAGTTTCTATAATATCATCTAATTTATCAGGTAAAGGATCTAAATAAATACTTTTAAAACCTTTTCTTGAAAATTGAGTCCATTGTTTTTCACTAACAGTATCACTAATTTTTACATTTTTAGCTCTATCTTCAAGTGAGAAAAATAATTTCAAAAAATCATCAGACATAGCAGTAACACCATTTGTTTGAAATTCATCCCACATATCTTCAGCAGATTTTTTTTCATCAGCAGTCATCATAGTACTTGGACGAATTATTGTTTTACGTTTCATACTATCCATCACATCAGGTAAAAAAGTTGTTAAAGTTTTCGTTTGTCTATTATTAGAATTAGAATTTGTCGTTGGAACTTGTCTTGTTACTCTTAAAATACTAACAGGTCTTATTGTACTTGAAGAAGTAGTTGCAGTAGTTGTAGTTGCAGTTGTTTTAATTTCAGTAGTTTCAGCAAAAGTAACAATAGATTGTTTACGAGGTCTATTTTGTTTTTTAGAATCAGAATTTGAATCAGGGAATTGAAAGAAAGCAGAAGTTACAGTCTTTCTATATTCAACATAATTATCCAATAATTTTGTTAAACGAGGATTTAATTCAGTTGAAACAGATTTTTCACGTAAATAAGCCAAAAATAAGTGATGACAAGCAGCAGAATATTTTGTCCAATCATCATAAGCAGTATCAAAATTTGAATAACCTCTATCTTTATTACCAAGAATACAAAGCGCTATTGTTTTAACGATTCTTTCAGCCGACATTTTATTTATATGAGATTCAGCCGTTACATCAGCGCAAATATCGAATAATTCACATAAAATATCTCTATTTTGTTTTGGTAAATAATCTAAAAATTTCTTGAAAGAACCTTTACTCGGATCATAATCCCATTCTATTAAAAAAGAAAAAAAAATAAATAAATAAATTGTTTTGTTAAAAAAAAAAGGATTTCACGTGACTCAATCAAATTGCGCAGTTAAAAAAATTACCAGCATTTTTGTGATGCTAGGATTAAAAATAATTTCTGCATAAAGACTAATATTATTTACATGTATATTATTATTATTATTATTTGTATATCAAATAAAAAATTAACTGCATGTATTATTTGAATTTGTTTCGTACGTAAAAAAATAAACAAGGGATTTTTTTACTTTTAATAAAAATTAAATTAAAATTATTGACAAAATAAGGATTTTGGGGAGGAGGGGGAGAAAAAAAGGTCTAATGCTGCGCAAAAAAAAATGAAAAAAAAAATATTTTTTTAATAAAAATAAAATAAATAAATACCTTGTTCATATTTAACAAATTCTTCATAATATTGATATGGTACTAATACGGTATCACTACGTCTTAAAGCCCATTTCATTGCTGAAACTACGGCATGAATATTATAAGATCTTATTATATCCTCATATTCCGTACGACTATCTTTTAATAAATATTTTAAAAGTTTTCTGACTTCATCCATACTATCACCTATGTTTAAAGGTTTAAAAATATCAACCTCACGTAAACCTCGTAATCTTATTTCATCAGAACATCTTTTTATAATCAAATGAACCTCTTCTAAAGTGATGTTTTGAGCCACATCACGTCTAACTTCTTTCTTTGTGGACATGGTCTTACGTAAACTTGGTTTCTTTTCATTTTTAGAAGTACTATTCTTTTTTTTCAACGAATGTTTCGCGCCGCGCAACATTTGTATAAATTAAATATAATAAAAATTCTAAAAAAAAATGTATACAGTATATATATATATATATAAATTATATATATATATGTTTTATATTTATTTCTAAAAAAACAAAATAATATATATATTTCAAAAATATTAATAATAATAATAATAAAAAAAAGAATAGACCAAAAAAAAAAAAATTTATTATAATGAAAGAGAGAAAGAGGTCAAAGCGAGAGAATTTTTTTTTTTCCTGATCCTCGATGAATTTATACTGTTTTTTTTTTAAATTAACATTTTAGTATCAATTATGATTGGTATTGAAAAAATTTTCCAATTGAAATATTTTTGTGGGTAATAAAAAAAAAAAATTTTTTTTTTTATATTACAATATTCTTTGTTTTTTTATAAATGTTGGCACAACATTTATTCAACGAATACGGTAGATCCTTGATTGGAATCAATATTTGAATTATAAAAATATAAAAAAAATTTGCACTTAATAACTTTAATTAATAGGTTGATCATTGCCTAATTCGAGACTAAATAAAATGTTTCAAAAAAAATAAAATACCTTTAAAATTAGATCACAAAAAAAATTGTTCATGTTGTACATGTTGTAATACCGTTTTAAGTTCATACTAACCAAATATGTTGATCACCATATCACATTTGTCACTTTAATTTAATCATAAATATATTATAGTGTATTCAAATATATATATATATATATATGTACATCTATAAATTTTTACTTTTTTTTTTTTACGTATATTTTTTTTGCAATGGAAAAAGAGTAGTGAAATTTTTTTTT